CTAGGGAACAAATAACATTAGACAACTTGACCGGACTGACCGACCTGCTTTGATACCACTAATGTAACACCCTTTTCTACCACACAAATATAATGGAAAATCAATCATATATATCAGAGTAAAATATTGAACGCAATAAAATCATCTCAAAAGGGCGCATATTTATCAATAATTCAAATATAGTCAATGCTCCATAAACAACATGTTTTCCCAAAATTACTCAAAGTATTACTCAAAGGGAATCGGAACTCAAAAAGGCAAAAATCCAAAGTTTTCCTTGCGTAGTAACTTAATCAAAATAACAATAATCAATAAAGCATGACTCATGCATGTGGTACCAATCAACAAAATTCAATGGACATTGGGCCATCAACCATCCATAGATCCACAACAGTAGGATCGATTCTACACAAGAATCAGAGCATAATAAACTACCTCACATCCACATAATGAGACTGAAGCCACAAGAATCAAGGTCCTAGACCGAAATCCGGAATGCATATGAATGCATGATGCACACGTATAATCCTTATAATAAACTCATTAGGTGCATCATCATTCATCAAAATCATCATAATAATCATGTTGTTACGGTTATAATATGATATCAAATTATTAATTAATTTGAATCGCATATTTAGTTCACAACCGCTCTTTGATTTATCCGAAGGAAAAGGTCAAAAGAGAAAAACCTAATTTTGCATCGTAAAGACAATGCGGGGAGAGATCTAGGTAAGGGGTTGGTTAAGCTCAGGGAAGGTACTAGCACCCTAAACTTCTGTAGTACTCTACAAGAACCTTTTGTTTATTGTATGCTTTTTTTATATTTTATTATCTGCTTTGATATATATTGAGCTAAGGGATAGAGTGACCTAAAGACCTAAGGGTTAGTCCTAAGTTTATTCGGCAAGACGTTGCATCTTGTGCCTACATATCCTGACGGGAATGGAATCAGAGTAATTGTAGTTCCCCTCGAAAGGGAGGTTAGAAACTTCTTGACTGTGGTCAAGGTTTCAATGGGAGTAAACGTATCTTAAGGACACGCTTACATGGAGTCTTGAAACTCCTATTTCTACGTTGAATTTGTTAAATGAAATTAGGGTTAAATTAGGTTTGACTAAATGTTTCACGGCGGGAAACCCTAAAACAGAGTACGGCGACCCTTTGACCTAAAGCTAGGGTAAAGGGCATTTTCGTCCACGGCGGAACACCTAGACTATTAGGGTTTGGAAATGGTCAAAGGTTAGGGTTATTGACTCGGCGGTCAAACGGCTAGACCTAATTCCTTCAGAGAGAATCCTAACGGTAAATCATGCAAACAAACAAAATATCGTACGACAAAATTAAAGTGCGGAAAGTAAAGAAAATGGTAAAGAAAGCGTCGCGACGATCACTCGCGTAAATTACAAGTCCCAAAAAAATGCAAAATAAAATAAACCGCGACCATGACCTCGCGTAAATTACAACTATAAATTGTAGTGCAAAAAAATAAAGGATCAATAAACTATACAACTGAGAAAAAAAATGTTAGGAACGTCATAAATTAGAAATCTAAATGTTTTTTTTAATTACAATTTATTAAACACTAAAATAACTATAAATCATAAAAAACTGTTAGTAACTATAAATTATAAAAAAAAAGGAAATACTAACTATAAGCTATTAAAATGTTTTGAATTATTAGTCATCAGAAAAAATATAATTTCAAGTTATTAAAAAAAATAAACTAATTATAAGTTATAAAAAATAGTGTTTAATTATAAGTTATATATATATATATATATATATATATATATATATATATATATATATATATATATATATATATATATATATATATATATATATATATATATATATATATATATATATATATATATATATATATATATATATATATATATATATATATATATATATATATATATATATATATATATATATATATATATATATATATATATATATATATATATATATATATATATATATATATATATTAAAAAGGTTTGTAGTAACTTTAACTAAATAATGGTTTTAATTTACAAACTTAGATTTAAATTTTAAAAAGGTGGTTTAAATTTGGAAAAAAAAGTTTTAGTTTTAAGAAAAGATTTTAATTTTGGAAAAAGAAAAAAAAAACTTTAAAAGAGTTTTAAATCTTGTTCAAAAAAAAAAACCTTAATGTTGAATAAAAGGTCTTAATGTTAGCTTTATGTTTCTTTTGTTGTATTTTTAAAAAAAAAATGGTTTAATTAAAAATAATGCACTAACCTCTAAAAAATTTTTTTGGTTCAAGAGGAGTTTTAATTAAGAAAATTCATTTTAATATTAACTAAATCTAAAAAGTTAGGAAAAACTTACGGTAACGGCGACAGATTCTTGAGATGAGATTTGAAGCAGTTCCGGAAGGAGGACAATGATGAGAGCTTGAGCTTCTCTGAGTCGCGATGATGACGATTAACAAAGGAAGCTGATAAGTTGTGAGAACGACCGCCGTTTTTTCTTTTGTCTCCTTCTCCCTTTTTTCTCAAATGCAACTCATGTTTATATAGGTAACAAATTAGGGTTAACTCTAACCTAATTCCCACTTTAAAGCCCAACTTAAAGAATTAGTCAAAACTAAATAAAATTTAAACAAATTAAAACAAACTTAAAACCCTATTTATTTATAGAAGATGGGATTCGAACTCTCAACCTCTCACACTCACAACTCCTTACGCACGGTCTCTTGCCAATTGTGTCATTTTATTCATTCAAAATAAAGTGGCACTAGAAACTATGTAAAGGTAGGACAAATTTGGGGTGCAACACATGTCATCATAGAATCATCAAAACTCATGAAACCAACATCATAACTCATCATCATTACTCATAGGAATCATCATACAATCATGTATTAATCTCAGAAGAATCATAGTCATACTCATGGTAATTCATCAAAGAAATCACAACATTAAAACATCAAGACACCACTGCACAAGATCAGAATTCGCAAAACACTGCTACATTCGCTATGCGAGTCTGGGGCGAATATTCGTCGTGCGAAGGATTATTCGTTGTGCGAACTAGCAATTACAACAAATCGCTGTTATGCACCAGCACTAAAACCAACCCAAAAACCTCTACGATTTCCTTCCCCAATGCCCTAAAAACATCCCTAAATCATTCATAAAGTATTACGGCAATAAAGGCACAAAATCTACGACTTATTAGGCCAATCCCGTATCATATTTACCCCTCAAATTCCCATAATTTCTTACAAATACCCCACAGTCATTAAAGTTCTCACAATCACTTACCCTATACGGTTAAACAACCTCAACAACAGATTTGTCCATGAAGGCCTAATTTCCCTTACTCTCAAATCAGCCTCAAACCTATGAGAACATCAGTTCAAATCCCTCAAACTCAGAATCCCTAAACCCTTAAATCGACTTTAAACACATTGAATCACATATTGAAAACAATGAAGGTAATACTCCACATACCTTAATTGCTGACTCTAAACCTTTCTCCTTTGATTCTCGGAAACCTCGCGAAGCTTTGCCTCAATCCTCTTCCTCAGAGCTCTGACCTCTATTTCTTCCCTTTTCACGGTCTAACAAGAATGAATCCTAATTCCCTTATAATTCCTTTTTGTTAAACTTAACTTTGGACCTTAAAACGGGCTTTCAATTTCACCCTATTAACTCCTCCTCAAATGTCCATTTTGCCCTTAATTCACTTATATTTATTTAAATTAATGATAATACCAATATATTCATATTATATACTATTATTTAAATAAATAACTCAAAATTCATAATTCTCAATATTCGTATCAACCACCAAAAATTATAAAAAATACGAATATTCATATTTAAATAAATTAAATAAATATTCCAATAAATTTGAGGTGTTACAGTCCCCATCATATTTCGAAGACGCCATTTCTTGAAAAACCATTGTGATTAACACACACATTTGTTAGGAGAAGAAAGTGTACAAGTTTCAGACTTAAAGAATGACGTTTTCGAACTCACTTTATAGCTAAATCAAAATGTTTTATCTCCAAATTAACTTATTCTATTCTTTGTTCAACTATTACACGCGTATGCTTAATGTACCACCGAACCTACTTTACCCACAACTCTAAATGGCCCAATTTTATCACATTTAAACCCTAATATTTCTTCTTTCTCTGACTCATTTTATTTCTTTTTTCTATTTTATTTTTTAATTCTACTATTATTTTTATTTTTTATATTACAACATATTATTATAACCATTTTTATTCAATTTTTTTCAATCATTTTTATATTACTCTTCATTTTTTTTTTCTATTACACAATTTTTCTATTTTTTACTTTCTAATCTTTTATTTCATTTTCTTATTTTTTTCATTTAAACTTTTTTCTTATTTTTTCGTATCAATTACACGTACCACACCTAGGTGAAGTTTTGCATGATTGAGTTACTTTAAATTACAATTTCTTAAAATAATATCAAAAGTCTCGTTTAAGATCCGATGAACCAATTTCTATGATTTCTGCTATCGGGTCATTCACCATTTATTTTGACACTCCACTTGTCTAATTCTAAACGTCAATGGTGTATTAAGAATTCCACATCAGATAATATATGATATGAATATATCTTTATAAGTGAAAATAATTTCCACCTTACACATCAGCTTTGTAGAATTGAGTTTGACTCAAGGAGAATATGTTCCACTGGTTGACTCTATAATTCATCATTTAGCTCAACCACATGTATTCCACCGGTTGATCCTATAATTGAATTAAAAGATGAAAACACTTAATGAAGTGACTATAGTTAGCACCTTATGATTAACGACGGAGAATTAGTACTGTTTGACGAAGAAGAATCACAACTCCTTCCTTGAAGTTTCTGCGATATTACAGTAATGACTACTTTTATACCATTAACACTCGACTCTTTTAACATTTTTATATATCACTAATTAACGTTCAACAAAAGAGGCGCGTGTATGAAAAATGGAGCAACAACAAGCAGTGTTTCCTTCTTCCAACGGAACTTGTACTTACGACGTTTTCCTCAGTTTCCGAGGAGAAGATACTCGCTATGGTTTCACCGGTCATCTCTACCGTGCTTTACACCTAAAAGGAATCAAAACTTTCATGGACGATGAAGTCATTAAGAGAGGACAACAGATTTCACCCACCATTTTCAAAGCAATTCGAGACTCTAGAATAGCCATAGTTGTTTTCTCTGAAACCTATGCATCCTCAAAATGGTGCCTTCGAGAACTTGTCAAAATCATTGCGTGTTACAAAGACAAGGAACTCACGGTGATTCCCTTGTTTTACAAAGTGGATCCATCAGAGGTTCGAAATCATACGGGGAATTATGGACAACAATTGGCTATGCATGAGGAGAAAATGAAGGAGGAAGTGCCAAGTTGGAGGTTGGCTTTACGTGAAGCTTCTAATCTGGCTGGATGGACTTTTAGAGATGGGTATGTATGTTCTCTTTTCTTTCTTAATTCTATATATTTTTTTTTGGTTCAAATTCTTGGTTGGTAGCTTCCACAATCCAAACTGTTTCAGTAAGCTGCAAGTCACGTGTTTGATGAAATGTTTGGGTCAATGGGTGTTCGCATTTGTTGGATATGAGTCACAAATATGTGGAGTGATATCTCTAATTTTTGTTGTGGATTTTTAGTTTTAGGTTTATTCAATGGATGATCATAAGTTGGTACATACATTTGGGAAAAAGAGACAAAGTAGTGAAACTAGGGTCATGTATCACATTTAATAAATTTTGCTAAATATTGATTAAGAAATATGTAAAACTATTAGGCTTTGATGATTAAGTCAAATGATATGATGAATTTTGCTACATATATGAATGTAGGGTGTTACGAGTGAGATTTTCACATAAAAGAGTAGGAACTTTGTAAGGAATTTTCGGTACCTTGAGTAAGGATTAAATCCAAATGACTTCAGCTATAGTATTGGCCATGCTGTGATACTCTGCCTCAGTGTTTGGTGGGCCATGAGCTGCTGTTTTTTGGAACTCCATGAAATTAAATCAGGACCAAGAACGATACACAATCTTGAAGAGGATCTTATGTCTGGGCTTGTGGCCCAATCTGTGTCATAGTAGACACTTGTGGAGAATGGAGAATTAGGCTGTCTCCATTGACTGATTAACCCTTTAAGATATCTAAAAGTGTGTTTGACTTATTTTCAACGTGGTTCAAGTGGACTTGAAATGAATTGCTTGACCTTGTCTACACTAAATGCATCTCGTTTTGTGATTGTCTCATATTGCATTGCTCCTATAATTGTGCAATGAAAACAGGGTCTGGAAGAGCATCAGTACCCACTCTACCGATTTTACAGTTGCTGATTATGGGAAATGCTATGTCTTTTGCTTCATGCATGCTTTTTTTGTGAAAAAGGAAGTGTTATCAAATAGCGGCGCCATGGCGGATATATATGGTAGTTTTTGTGCTCGCCGCAATGGTAAATATTGGCCGATATTGTAGATTTTTCCGCCATAGTCCCGTATAACGGCGCTGCAAAGCGGCTGGTATAGCGGGACTTTGGCTCTCCGCCATGGACCCGCCATCTGCCATCTACAACTCTGGAAGAAGGTCTCTAACATATTTGGATTGGGTCAGAAGAAGGAAACCATTCTTCATTGGTTTTACTTCAACCCCAAGAAAGTAATCTATGTTTCCTAGCTGTTTTAGGGTGAATTGGCTGTTGAGCTTATGAATAAGATCTTGGGTCAGAGTTGAAGAGGATCCAGTCATGAGCTTAAATAAAAAACATAGAGGCATATGTGTTGGAATTGCCGCCTTCATTGCAGTCTGTCCCTAGTCGCCTAAATTGCGACATTTAACTTGCCTTCATTGCAGTCTTCAGCATCTTCACTGTGTTGGGTTTGAAGGGGTGGATTTAGTCTTACATTGCTTAGAGATATGACATATGTTGTATTTACAAGTGGGGACGATTCTCACCATACAAATCGCTATTGTAGGGATGAATTAGGCCTAACTCATGCATTCTATGATGGTAGGTATCAGAGCTGTCAACCAGGCTGAGTTATATTTTAGAGATGGAACCGTCCTCTTTTCTTTCTTAATTATTCACATTGTGTTCAAATTCTTATCTATATTTTAGAGATGGGGTTGTCATCTTTTCTTTCTTAATTATTCACATTGTGTTCAAATTCTTTGCTGGTAGCTTCCAAACTAATATCAATAGAAATTGAAAATGAAATACACTTTTTTATTATAGTTTCATGTACAAGACACAATGTTTGATTGTTAAGAAATGTTTGTGATTGTTAAGAAATGTGGTTAGACCTAACTCAACCTTACAAAAACGGATAATAGGGTGAAGATTGCCCCCAATGGTGGATGATCCAATAGCGGAAACCTGATAGTAGGTGGGCCACCGGATCTCAAACGAGGCTCTAATACCATGTTAAATATGCATGGATCTCATCTCTCAAAAGTTAGCCCTCAAATATTTATACAATCATCAGCCTGGGAACCTAAGTAATGTGGGACATCAAAGAAACTCCAACAACACAAATACCAACTTCAACACCCACCCTTATGCCTAGCATGGGCCTGGGTCAAATGTCCACATTGTATTCTTTAACCCGACTCTGATACCATTTTAAAAAATGTGGTTCGGCCTAACTAAAATCTACAAAACCGACTAGTAGGGTGAGGATTGTCCCTACTTATAAGCACATGTTCAGACTATATATTATTCGATATGGGACTCTTAATAATGGTAAACTGGTAAAGATCTGTACTAAAAAAGTGTCAGGAACAAAAGTGTGAAATTCCACTATGTGTGGGGAGGGGAGACGTTTTTAAGAGATAGATTAATGCATAAACAAGAGTATTAACTCCCCTTCAACCCCCCTGTTCCCTTCCTTTATCATATTCTTAAAAGCTTCCAAGTTCCAACAAATGCAATAGGAAAATATTTTGACTTAATTTCAGTTTTTGTACTTTATTTTGACCTGCTTACAAAGTTGATCTCTCTATTTGAAAATCTTTTAGTTTTGGTCTCTCCCCTTAGATATATAGATTTAAAAATCATGATGTGGCATGTTTTAAACAACATGACCTATGATAAGATGAAACTGAATGATCAATGTTGTAATATTAGTATTATTATTATTAGAATATGTTGAATATCATACAGCTCATTATGAGCTGGTATCCTATACAACTTATTATGAATAATTAGCATTTATAGGAGAATAATTACACCCTTATTTAGATAGATGTATAGTCTATAAATACCTCTTATGTATTCTTTACAAGATATATAAAATATTTTCATATTTCTACATGGTATCAGAGCTCCCGATTCTAGGGGCTCTGCTTCCGCGCTCAAAACACTAGCCGTTCTTATTACGGTCCTTTTTTTTTTCAAGGTTCCCTTTCTCTTGGAACCCTAGTGATCTTGGTGACTTTGCAGCCATCGTGCACCGCTCAACCGCCGTTGCAGATCCGGACGTTTTCACCTTCATCTTTTTTTTAGGACAGCCTTCATTGCCGTACCTCTATTTACTTGCTGTTTGCAGCCCTTGATTGATCGGTTGTCATCGTTGTTGGTGTTTCTAATTGGCAGCCCTTCGATCCTCTCCTAACAGTAGATCTCGATCCTCTCCTGGTTCGAGACGATTTGTTTCTCTCTATGGACTCCTTGAGTAAGTTCTCTAACACTAGTTCTCTGACCATGATGGGTAAGAATTCTAGCTCCTTAGCTTTTAATGCCTCTTGTTCTAAAGATATCTGGATTATTGACTCTGGTGCAACTGATCACATGACTCCATATATGTCATATCTCTCTTCTTATTCACCTTTACCTAATAAAAGCCATATTACCGTTGCAAATGGGTCTCAAACCCCGATTGTCGGATCTGGTAACATCCACCTAAGCCCATCTCTCCACCTAAATGATGTGCTTCATGTCCCTAAGCTTTCTAACAATCTTTTGTCCATCCATAAACTCACTAAAGACTTGAACTGTGTAGTAACCTTTTTTCATTCTCATTGTGTTTTTCAGGATCTTGCCACAGGTAAGACGATTGGAATTGCTGAGGAACAGAACGGGTTATATTGTCTGCCTCATAAGGAAAGTAAGTGTCATCAGGCTGGTTCAGAGTCATGGGCAAATGCTCAAATATGGCTCCAACACAGGCGTCTTGGACATCCTCCTTTCCAGATGCTCAGGTCTCTATTCCCTCACTTATTTACCAAAGTGTCTGTTGATTCCTTTCATTGTGATGTGTGTCAGTTTGCCAAATCTCATCGAGCAACCTATTCCCCTAGTAATACTAGGAGTGTCGAACCCTTTGATCTTGTTCATTCTGATGTATGGGGGCCTTCATCTATTTCCAATATTTCTGGGGCAAAATGGTATGTTACCTTTATTGATGATTGTACTCGGGTTACATGGGTTTTTCTTATGAAAGATAAGTCTGAAGTGTGTCAATTGTTTGTTAACTTTTTTCAAATGGTCAAAACACAGTTTGGAAAACCTATTAAACGGTTACGGTCAGACAATGGTAAGGAGTATGTAAACCAAAATTTTTACAATTTTCTCAAAACTAATGGTGTTGTTCATGAGTTGACTTGTGTTAACACTCCACAACAAAATGGGGTTGCTGAAAGAAAAAATCGTCATCTTCTTGAAATCACCCGAGCATTACGCTTTCAAATGAATGTTCCTAAATTTTATTGGGGGGAAGCTGTCTTGACCTCTGCTTATTTAATCAATAGGTTACCTTCTAGGGTGTTATCTGGTGTTAGTCCTGTGCAGGTCCTGACTCAATTCTTTCCGTCTGTGCCCATCTTGTCAAGTCTTCAGAATCGTGTCTTTGGTTGTTCTGTCTTTGTCCATGTTCATGGCCCTCATCGAGGTAAGTTAGATCCTCGAGCTATTAAATGTATTTTCATAGGATATGCTTCAGATAAGAAGGGGTACAAGTGTTATCATCCTCCTAGTCGTCGTGTCTATATATCCATGGATGTTACTTTTCAGGAATCAGAGTCTTTTTATCCCAATCCTCAGTTTCAGGGGGAGAATAATCAAGAAGCTGAGTCTTCAGAGTTGTCTATTCTTCCTGTTATTCCTCTAATACAGGACCCAGAGTCGTCTCCTGAATTGTCTGTTCTTCCTGTTATTCCTGTAATACAAGAGCCTTTGATGCCTAATGAGGATGGTGGTGATGTATCAATACCGGTGCATAATAATGATGAGGATGGTGGTGATGTACCAATACCGGTGCATAATAACGTTGACAGATACAAGTTACAGTTCCAGCGAAAAAGGTGGAAAGGTAAACCCGTTCTGCCCCAACAAGTCCAATCGTCTGAACCTGAGGTAAGTGTTCCTAACCCTGAGCCTAGTAATTCTTGTGAGCTGAACCTTGATGACCTACCTATTGCTTTGAGAAAAGAAAAAAGGTCTTGTACTAAATACCCTATATCCCAGTTTGTGTCTACTGAAAAACTTTCTGTGCAGCATCAGAGTTTTATTTCAGCTATTGACTCTATTAGAGTCCCTACATCAGTACAAGAAGCATTAAAGGATAAGAACTGGATTCAAGCCATGAATGAAGAGATGCAGGCACTAGAGAAAAATGGGACTTGGGAGATTATTGAGAAGACAAATGACAAGAGGCCAGTAGGTTGCAGATGGATATATACGGTAAAATACCGATCCGACGGCACACTGGACAGATATAAGGCGAGGCTAGTAGCAAAGGGATACACCCAGACCTATGGAATTGATTATGAAGAGACATTTGCTCCAGTAGCAAAAATGAACACTGTAAGAATCATTCTTTCCTTGGCAGCTCACTTTGATTGGGAGTTGCAACAGTTTGATGTGAAAAATGCTTTCTTGCATGGAGATTTGAAGGAAGAGGTGTATATGGAGATCCCACCTGGATATGACCCTACTTTAGGAAGTAATAAGATTTGCAGATTAAAGAAGGCCATATATGGGCTCAAGCAATCACCTCGAGCTTGGTTTGGAAGGCTCACTCATGTTATGGTGTCCTTGGGTTATAAACAAAGCCAAGGTGATCATACTCTCTTTATAAAGCATTCTCAAAATGGTAAACTCACTCTTTTGTTAGTCTACGTAGATGATATGATTATAGCAGGTAATGATGAATTTGAGAAGATGAACTTGAGGAAGAAGTTGGCAGCTCAGTTTGAAATGAAGGACCTTGGAAAGTTGAAATATTTCCTAGGTATGGAAGTAGCATACTCAAAACAAGGCATTTTCATTTCTCAGAGAAAATATGTCCTTGACCTTCTCAAAGAGACTGGCAAGTTGGGTTGTAAACCCAGCAGAGTGCCTATAGAGCAAAACCACAGGATTGGGAGTGATGAGGAAAGTCCAAGGGTTGATAAAGCTCAATACCAGAGACTTGTGGGAAAGCTCATTTATCTATCTCACACCAGGCCTGACATAGCTTATCCGGTTAGTGTTGTCAGTCAATTCATGCATGATCCACAGGAGAGGCACTTACAGGCTGTGGATAGAATCCTGCAGTATTTAAAGATGAGCCCAGGAAGAGGTCTATTGTTCAAGAAAAGTGAGCAGTTGTCTATGGAGGTCTATACTGATGCAGATTATGCAGGGTCGATTGTTGACAGGAGATCCACCACTGGATATTGTATGTTCTTAGGTGGAAACTTAGTGACATGGAGGAGCAAGAAACAAAATGTAGTTGCCAGATCAAGTGCAGAGGCAGAGTTTAGAGCCATGGCTCAAGGAGTTTGTGAATTGTTGTGGATGAAGATTATTCTAGATGACTTGAAAATAAAATATGAAGCTCCTATGAGACTTTTCTGTGATAATAAGTCTGCTATTAGTATTGCTCACAATCCGGTCCAACACGACAGAACAAAGCATATAGAGATAGACCGACACTTCCTCAAAGAGAAATTGGACAGTGGTCTTATTTCTACACAGTACGTCCCATCAGGACTCCAGTTAGCTGATGTGCTCACCAAAGGACTCCCCTTAGAGCGGTTTCGAGATCTTACTTGCAAGCTGGGGATGATAGATATCCATTCCTCAGCTTGAGGGGGAGTGTTGTAATATTAGTATTATTATTATTAGAATATGTTGAATATCATACAGCTCATTATGAGCTGGTATCCTATACAACTTATTATGAATAATTAGCATTTATAGGAGAATAATTACACCCTTATTTAGATAGATGTATAGTCTATAAATACCTCTTATGTATTCTTTACAAGATATATAAAATATTTTCATATTTCTACAATCAACACCATAAAATATCAAGACATCCCCCTAAAAATGTCAGTTTCAACTTAAAAAGTGTTTCATTTTTTAAAATTTAATTAATGAAATAGAAATCATTAATCTATATGGATGATTCGACATCATCAAGTTGCTTGTCATGTAATTTAAAACGAGACACAACACCAAAACTATTTTTTTTAATAGGGGTCAATTCCGTGAACGAATAAAAATTGGGGGACAAAAACTCCAACTACGCTTAATATTTTTTTGCTTGCTTTTTTGGCATTCTGTTGCAATTTTAAATTACAAGTTAGTTGTGCTAGTTAATTTTTATATTTGAAGTTTGTTAAATAGCTTTCTGTCATAACAAGTTAGCTTCAGTCTTCACATTCCCGCGTCTTTATATATTGTACATGAATTGTAAATGATGATTAAGTTGAATCAGTTCAATAGAGACACTCTTCACAATCTTCCTTTATTTGGAACAAATAAAATCAGACACGATGAATTTAGTTTTGAGTATTCATAACATTTTGTACTTTGACAGATATGAGTATGAATATGAGTTTATCAAAAGGATCGCTGACACGGTGCACAACACATCAAAACAAAACCTTTCACATGTTGATGATCTTGCAGTTGGACTTGAGATGCGCGTGTCTAATATACTATACCGTTTACAAATGCTTGATCCCACTGTTATCATGATAGGAATATGTGGGGTCGGTGGAATAGGAAAAACTACTTTGGCAAGGGCGGTGTACGATTCCATTGGCCAACAATTTGAGGGTCTTTGCTTCCTCCATGATGTTAGAGTAAATTCAACCAAATATGGATTGACATATCTACAACAGGTAATTCTTTCTGATACGGATGGCGAGAGTATCAAGCTGCGTAATGAGAATGAAGGAATTTCAATCCTGATCAAGAAGTTGCAAAATAAAAGGATTCTTTTGATACTTGATGATGTTGACAAATTGGATCAATTGAAGAATTTAGCAGGAACACCTAGTTGGTTTGGTTGTGGAAGTAGGATTATCATAACTACTAGGCATAAAGATATTCTAGCTGCTCATGGAGTTGGAAATATATATGATGTACCTGTGTTTAGTTATCATGAAGCTCTTGTACTTTTAAGTTCCATTGCATCAAAAATACCTAATCTTGATGTAGTATGGGATCGCGCAATCAGATATTCCCATGGTCTTCCTTTGGTCTTAAAGATTATTGGTTCTGATTTATCAGAAAAATCACCAAATGAATGGGAGATTTCATTAGGCAGATATGAAAAAATCTGCAATGAAGAAACTCGAAGTATACTTGAAGTGAGTTGTAATAGTTTGAACGAACAAGAGAAGAGAATTTTTACCGACATTGCATGTTTCTTTGTTGGAGAAGCATTTTCATATGTCAAAGAAGTATTATCTGCTTGTGGTTTCTTTACAAAACATGGTATTGACAGACTTAAGGATAGATCCCTTATATCAATCACTCCCAGTGGAAGTTTGATGGTGCATGATCATATAATAGACATGGCTATGAATATAGTACAACAAGAATCACCCACAAATCCTTGCAAGCGAAGTAGGGTATGGCTACCTCAGGATGTTCTTCGAGTTTTAGACGAAACTGCGGTAAGAACTATTTTAGTTTTTAAACAAGGATATGTGAAACAAACAAGCCATTAAGTTACGTCTCATTGCCAAATTTTGTTTGCTGACAACAACATTTAGTATGTAATTATGTTGGTGTGAACAAATACAAGTGCCTTTTTTTCTATAATTGATTATTGTTACGAACGAGTCTCGCAAGAAACTCAAGAAGGAAGTACTACTTCAAAAAACAATAATCAATCACTTTTCCATATATGATCAACCAAAAATTGATTGGTCAAATGCCCTATTTTCATGTGTTCTTCTATTACTTGTAGAAATTCTTAGAAATAGCATTGCTCTTTAGTTTTTATGAACAAATGCTTCTCTTTTCTGTCAAAACTTGAAAAAACAGTTGTAGTAGTTAACATGTTTTTGTTTGGAAAGGAAAATGATAAAATCGAAGTCATGATATTGGACAACTTACCGCAAGGAAGTGTAGAGAATTTAAATGACAAAGCCTTCAAAGAGATGAAAAGCCTGAGAATACTAATTATTAAGGACGCAGTATATTCCGAAGTCCTCCAACATCTCCCTAATAGCTTAAGAGTTCTGGATTGGAGTGGATATCCTTCATGCTGTTTGCCACCTGATTTTGTCAATTTACCTTCTAGTTGTCTCATTTTCAACAAATTCAAGGTACGTATAAGTGCTATGTGAAATATTCCCTTTGAACTTAAATTGCAAATAATAGCATCAAATGTATTGTCTAATTGTTGGTATTTTTTGTTACAGAATATGAAGTGTTTGATTAGTCTTGATTTCACTGACTGTATATATATAACAGAAGTACCTGATATGTCTGGTATCCCAAACCTAAGGGCATTGTATCTTGATAATTGTATAAATGTTACAAAAATTCATGATTCTGTTGGATTTCTTGATAACCTTAAAGAGCTGACAGCCACAGGATGCACTAATCTCGAAACAATCCCTGGTTCATTCGAGTTGGCATCTCTTGAAGTTCTCTCTTTCTCCGAGTGCCCGAGACTTGTGAGGTTCCCAGAAATATTGTGCAAGATCGAAAATTTGCTACACATCAACTTGTGGCAAACTGGCATAGAGGAATTACCATTCTCTATTGGAAATGTGACAGGACTTGAAGTTTTAACTCTGATGGATTGTACTAGGCTTGATAAGCTACCTAGTAGCATTTTTACACTACCAAGACTTGAAGAAATTCAAGCTGACTCATGTAAAGGGTTTGGCATTTCTACTGAATGTGAAGATAATAATGGACCGATGAAATTCACTGTGTCTCCAAACAAGATTCATCTGTATTTGAGCTCTTGCAATTTAACAAATGAACATCTTTTTATCTGCCTCCTTGGTTTCGCCAACGTTGTACACTTGGACCTATCTTACAGTAATTTCACTGTCCTTCCACCATGCATTAAAGAATGTATCAACTTGAACACTCTTCTGTTAACAAACTGCAATCTGCTTCAAGAAATCTCAGAAATTCCACCAAAGTTGAGAAATATAGATGCATTGAACTGCACATCACTGACATCACAGTCACAAAGTTTACTAGTAAGCCAAGTAAGGTTTTCCTCTTTAATCTTTCCTGTTTAAATTTGCTTGTACTAAGTATACTTTTTTTAGGTTTAAATATGGTTTTACTCTCAGCAAATACATCACAAATTATAGAGATCAATTTCAACATAAACAGAATTTTCATGGGCTAAACAAAATAACAATGACCAAAATTATTAAGTCATATATTTGCGCAGAAATATTTTTAGAGACTAAAAAAAAAAGTGGTATATTTGACAAGACCGAAAACATATTTCAATTTTTTTATAGACAAATGTTAGGAGTTAGCTTGTTAAAGGGAAGGGGATATGTTAGTAGTTGTTAACATCAAGAAAAAAATTGAATTGTGTAAATAAGGATAGAATATTCTCTAGACCGATATATAACCCCTTATCATCTCAACTGTTTAGTGTATGTTTGTTTTGTGAATCATTTGCCTTCAAATTTTGATTATTTTATGTGTGATCAGGCATTTCATGAAACTGGAGAAAAAACTGTAATGCTTCCAGGATCAAGTATACCAGAATGGTTTGATCATCGCAGCAGTGAAAGATCCATTTCCTTTTATGCTCGTGAGAGATTCCCTATTATTTGTGTGTGTGTTGTTTTTGGAGTGTTGGAAAAACTGCCTCATCATTTTCTAGTTAACGTCTGTTTAATGATCAACGGCCATAAAACAATACTATCACAATGTTCTAGTTGGTCAATTGTAAAGGAACATGTGTGGATGTTTGATCTAAGAGATTTTATTGGCAGTAGAAAAACATGGTTGAAACGTGGTTGGAATCATGTGGAAATTTCATGCGAGGATTGTCAAGATGAGCATTTGATGGCACAAGCTGTTCATGGACTTAGAAGAATGACAATTGTAAAATGGTATGGAATTCATGTGTATAGACAAGAAAACAACACATTGGAGAATATCTTATTCACAAGTGCCAACACTCCTCAACAAGAAAATAATATTAATGATGAAACATTTAATGGAGACAATCACCCTTTGTCTAAACGGCAGTGTAGATGATATCTAAGGACAAAACATAGAATGTTCTACAGAATGATGTTGTATAGAAATGGTAATTTGATTTTCTCCCCTTTCACATTTACTGTATGATATTAATAAAGAAGAGTGCATACTTTTTTCAATTTTTATATGGCACTATTGATGAATGTACCTTACATTTGCATAGGTGTGTCCGTATGCATACAAATTTGATTTGTTAGTTCAAAGAAGTCAGAGCTTATTGCAACTCCACTCCTCCCAAGGTAGCATAAATAGGGGTGTGCATGAATTATAAACCAAACTAAACCAAACCAAATATATGGTTTGGTTTGGATTTTAAAACTATTTATATAAAACCGGTTTATTTTTTTAAAATCGGTTTACAAGTGGATTTGTTCGGTTTCAAACCGGTTTTTAAAAAAAATAACAGTTTTTTTAAAAACCAGTTTTAAACCGGTTTCTCTCAAAACCAATTTTTTATTTTAAATAATCTAAACATTTCCGCAAAACCATTTTCCCATTTAATCATCAAAAACACAATTTCACACAAAATCGATTAATATCACCACAATGACAAACCAACTTATCAAGACTATTATTCCTATGAGAAAATTAAAATCAAATCATTAACAAACCCACTAAAAGATACATGAATAATTAAATTCTACACTTCACAAACACAAATAATACTATATGAATTTGAATATATAAGTGAATGAGAATATGATAAGACACAGACACTAGCTCACATTCACATGCTATGTTTAAAGCAGAAAAAAGTCTTGTCAATTTATACAAGTAAAATCTCACTTTTAATTTGACCCAAGAATTTTACTGAAACCTTCTAATATAGGAATAGTGATAACAAAATTACAATTATATGAATCCACACAGGCATAATTATTCAACCATGACAGTGAGGTATATACGTTTTTCTTGATTCATTTGATTAAAATTATTGATGTAATTAGCCTCTATTAATCATCACTAATTGTTAATTATCATCAATTTATCAAAAAAAAAAAAACAACAATCTTCCTCGTATCACTAACCGTCTCCCACCGTTACTTAACGTCCATCCGCAACTTTCTCCGTCGCAGAACTATTTCGATAAATCCATGATTGTGATTTAGAGAATTAAGATACAAATGAGATTAGGATTTCTGAAATTTGTGTTGATCTTGATTTTTCCAACTATTATACTTTTATTTTTGAAACTTATTGAAAAATGGTTACCAAATCTCAAACCGGTTTGAAATAAATGGTTACCGGTTTTTTTTTTAATTTGATAAATGGGGCACCAAATTTAAAATATAAATTTGGATTGGATTTTAAAATGTGGATTAATTTGGATAGGAATTTGGTTTATGGGTATTGGTTATTTTGCACACCTCTAAGCATAAACATTAAAAAAAGAAGAAGAAGGCAACTAGCATAATGTATTTTTGTCTCAACTCTCTGATTTTCACGAGAATTTGAAGTTTAGTGACGTGATAAGCAAAATTGGATTTATTCCATACTGGAATAGAGAATGGATGAGAAGATGAAGATGACCACTTTAGAAAGACTTCTTATACGGCAGTTGAGGTTTCTATGATCTGAGATGGATATCTGTAAAGTTAGTAATCTAATGCATAAGTCAGTGTTTGCAAGAGACCACCGGGAATTAAGTATCCATTGTCCTGAAGTCTCTTCATTCTCTAAAAGGTCATAAGTTCAATGAAACCCCATGGGTGGGTCACTGATTAGTTGAAGCCTTGGAGATCAATGTCCATGTAGGGCGATAATATTTCTTCTTCAAGCCTAACTCGGTGAGAAGTTTTGCGAACATAATATCGTTTGAGCTTTCTCCATCAATGAGGATCCTTGAAACATCAAAGTTCTTCATGGTGGATGTTATCACTAAAAGAAATAATTTATTGAGGATTCTACCTACTTTTTCACTATCTTTGAACTCTATGATAGACCGTTCAGGTTTCTCTCATGATGACGAATTTCTCTTCTTATTTATTGCTAACAATTCTACAATCTTCTTCTTCATGATTCCCTTATGATAAACACAAAAAAATTATAACCACTAGAGATAAAGGCTATGATCGGTTGCTTTCCTCTCTTGTCATCCTCCTCTTTGCTACTATATTTGCCTCTGCTAGTGGACTCAGCGACCACAATTGTTTTCCTTGACGGTGTACCATCCCGGTGGGGACGACACTTTCTACATGGGGATTCACTCCGTTTATTAGACTCTCGGGGATAATCACTATATTTTTTATAGTCCACCTTGCGTGCATCATCCTTGGTGTATCTACCAAACCTTCCCTTCTTAATCAAGTCTTGTATCACATCCTTCAAGTGAATGCATTGGTTAGTTTCGTTCCCATGGCTCTTATGTAACCTGTAGAATTTTGATTTATTAGGCCATTTTGACTCCTTCATGGGATGGGGGGTTCTTCACCCGGCCTCCTTGAACTCAGTATTTGAGCACTTCTGTAGAGTTCTTTCTATGAAGTTGATGCATCGTTTGAAGAAAGAGGGAATATTACTGAAGTTGAAGCGAATAGAGGGAAGTCAAGAGTTGAGATGGGTCTGAAAGAGTTTAAAGAAGTTGAAATCAGATCAGCAGTGATGGATGTTGATGTTAGCATCACTCAAAGGGATATTGCTAAGCTGATTTGTGTAGCAAATGAAGGAAGATGCATTTTGAACACCAAAGAGAGTAGTAAATCTGCTCAGCTGATAAAATCAAGCTTGTTTACCCACTCTGAAGACTTCAGTAAAATGAAGAATATGCACAATGCATATAGACTTCTATTCAGAATCCTCATTAGTTGCTTGATCCCTAGAGAAGGAAGTGCTGACCAGATCTCCTGGGATCACAGGCATTTCATCTGTTTCCTAGTGAATCATGAGAGGTTAAACCTGACTGCCTACATTTTCAACCATCTGTGTAATGCTATCAAGGAAAGCCAAAAGCATAACAAGAAGAATGCTCCTTATGCCAGACTCCTAGTTGAATTGTTCCATCAAAGCAGACTGATTGATTTTGTGATGAAAGTTTATGCCACTCAGGATCTAGAAGAAACATATGGTAACATTCTCCCTGTTGTTGTTCTTGTTAATATGAATACCATCAAGAAGAAGGGCGTGGTGATATCTGAAGCAAATTTAAGCATCAGAAGTGGCAAGACTGCTTACATTGAGGAATTTTCATATATTTCAAAGTTGGACAACCTTGAAGTGATTTAAGAGTTTATTAAAATGGCAAGAGAAGATAATGGAATCATTCTGAATTTGGATGATATTCCAGATGCTCCTAAAAATGCTTATAAGCCTTCAAGGAAGAGGAAATAGGCTGCTACTGAAATTCAGGAGGTTCAAAAGCCATTAAAGAAAAAGGCTTATGCATCTATTAAGAGGGGAGTAAAGGAAATGGTCTTTTCTGTTGTCTTAATGCCTACAAAGACCAAAAGTGGAGCCACTGGGAAGACTCTTCAGAGATAACTTATACTTCTGTCAAACCAACACCTTTTAAGAAGGTAAGTGTTGCACCCCAAAATTTGCCCAATATTTTCTCTACCTAGCTTATGTTTCATTTCATTCAAATTAGCATTATCGTTTGCATTTCATTGATATGTATGCAGGAGATCAAGAGATATGATTACCAATCAAGGGCTACAAAAGGCTTTGAAGCTAGGTAAGAAGGTTATTCAAGGGTTTAAAGGTTGATATCCTTGTCAAAGAAGTAAAAGATCCTCAGAGAGAGTGGTTGAAACCAAGTATGTGGGTCTCTTAACTTGAGAGTTATAGGGAAGGCCATCAGATGATTCTAAAGCCATGAAGTTGGACTTGAGGTCTTGAGAGAGCTCAAGAGAAATGTTGAAGATCACTTTGAGGCCTAGACAGGTCATTGTGCAAGATCAAGAAGACTCAACCATGAATGGTGCAATTAGGGTTTGACTGGGTCAACCCTAAGTCAACTGAGGATTTGGAGAAGGTTGAAACCTAATCCAAGAGCCATGTGATCATGGATTGATACATTGATAAGCTCTAAGGATGATTCCAAGGTTGACTCATCATGATTGAAGAGTTTGAGAAGTTTCAGGCTAGGGTTTCTAAGACTTGACAGTGTAAAATCCCCTGGCTTGACCCCTGACTTCAAGACTATTTAACTCAAGATAGGATCTTCATCTCATCTTGACCCCAACATGATTGTTGTAGATCTTGATCTTAGCTTTAATTTGAGTACTATAAGTCCTTGATAGGGTTTATAGAACTCAAGTTATGAGCCAGACAAGTTACAAGTCATCTGAAGCATGTGAATTTGGAGCTTGAAAGTTACCCAACTTGCATGACACTTTTGCCCTAGAAGGATGATTCCTATGAACTTTTGGTAAACATGAATGTTGTTTCTTATCCTCTTAGCTTTCCATAGAGTTCTAGAAGTCCATGGTTGGATTTGTAGAGCTCAAGTTATGGCTTTGACAAGTCAAGGGTATTTTGGGAAGTTGTGATTATGTGTCATTTTTGGTTATGGGTCATTTTCACCAACTTAGACATCTCAAATGAAATTTTGTTCAACTTGAAAGTTGCTCAAAAGGGGGTTTTAACTTGGACCATGTATCAAGGAGGCATTGAAATGGCTCAAGGAGAGACTTGATTCAAGGAATTTTGAAAAAGGAAGAATTAAAAGGCATTAAAGATAAAAAATTCAAAATAAATGTTATGTGTGCAAATAAGGCAAAGTAATAGCATTTTTTGAATGGAAATTGCATTTTGGAAACAATGACATCATTAGAATTTAGGTTTGAGTTCATTTTCATGGCCTTTTGCTTTGTTACTTCAAAAGGAAGTTACATCTCAAATCAAAGCCCTAGGATGAAAACAAGGGATGAATCCCCACCATTCAAGTTCAGTAACTCACAAGGAGTGCAATGAGAGCTTCCTGAAGGAGAAATAGAGGAGATATCGTGACTGCCATGAATGAGATTTTGAAGAGAAATTGAAATTTGAATTTCTCATTC